GAGACTAGATTGACTAGATCGAGCCATGTCGGAGAACTTACTTAGTACTTCGCCGGGGCCAGAGGCCTGGGGCGTATTAGGGCATCCTGAGTCCAGCGCAGTGCGCTAGCAAGCAGCTCCCAGAGCCTTGATCAAATGCCGCAGCTCAAGGACAACGACGACGACGTGGAAGTTTCCCCAACTTCGGACTCTCGCAACTCGGACTTTAGGTTCCGGCGTTGATTTCCACAGTCGGGACAACAAATTGACAACTTGCTTGCAATGGACGAGAATCCTACGACGACGGCTGCCGCGACTCCTACTGATACTCGTATCGGCACTGCCACCGCTGCCTGCAACTGGCAAGGACGACTTCACCACGGGGACAAGCACTACACTACACTTTTACTCCGACTCCTGCCACTGCCACTGCTGATACTGCCGCTGCGAGTGCTGCTTCTGTTCGATTGCGCGTGTCTCTCGCGCCTCGAGAGCTCCCGCTCTCCAGCCACGGACCTCGTTGCGGTGCAATGTCAGAAATGCGTGCATTTCATTGTCAAGCTGGTCGTGTTTTGTCAAAAGTTTACGTGCAGGATTACATCGATCCGTGGACACCAAGAGCGTGTCCCGACGTGGGCAACGGCTATGCCATCGCTGAGTGCCGGGCGAGCAAACTGCTCTCAGTGCAAGCGTGGCATCCGGCCTCAGAGACCGGACCGGGCACGGATAAAAAAAAAACGACAAACGAGCGCGAGATTCAGACAGAGGTCAGTCCAAACAGCAACTAGTAACTACGACGTTTTTGTTTGCCTCGGGCTTCTGATTCATTGGAGAACATCGACTCCCGAATCTACAGTTGCTGGTGTTATCGTAACGTAGAGTAGCACCCACCTCGAGTGCTATCTCACTGGGGTTTCCTGCTCCCGTGCGATGAGTGCAGCTGCCAGGCTGCTGAAACCTCTGCGGCCGACAGGAAATAATTACTGTTCGCAGTTCGCAGACCAGGTCCGATACGAACCAATCAATCGTCCAAAGTTACAACCCTGACGTCAGCTGTGAGCCAGCCTAGTCGTGGCAAGCTGCCCCCAGCTCGCAGCAGCCAGTCGCGGGCCTTGGCGCACTGAACCATCATGGCAGGCCAGGTTCATGCCTTTCCCCCCTTTTCGAAACCGGATACATTGTGAGGGTGCGAATCAAGTTGCCAGGCTTTGAGGCTTCGGCACTGCCCTCGTTGACAAGGTTCTCTGCCGCGGAAATGGCCAGCTGAACCTTCTCTGCATCCTTGCACACAACACGAATGCATGAAACTCAGCTGCAGTTCCAGCTGCACTCTTTCTTTCTGCCGGCAACAAAACCCCTACCGTCCTGTACTGTAACGGTTAGCAGAGCAGTTTCGATTGTCGTTGTTGTTGTCTTGTCTGTGAATGTGTGAACATGCAAATCCATGTTGGCTCCGACAGCTCGAGCGAAGATCCGGGGAGCTAGGTGAAGGCCTTGTGTTGGAAGATGTTAGAAATGCACATGACCATGCAAAGCCAACTCCTCTTCACGTTGTCTCTCGAGCTCCTTCGCGAGGAGTGCGACCTGATCTGTGCGACCAGGAGCCAAGGGCTTCCAAAGAGCAGTGCGATCAGCAATGCAAAGCACGTGCAGGCGCCACGAATTCTCCTGGTCCTGATTATAGAGCATGGGGCTGCGTGCAAGATGAATCATGAACTGCTCGAAAGCTGGGCCGTGGACCCTGCTGGCGAGCTTGCTGCTGCTGCCCAGGTGGCAGGTCACTTGCACCCTGACTGCACACACCACCCGTCAACAGCTCCGCAGTCGCAGCCAGCAGCTCTCCAGGAACATAACGCTACAACAATGCCGCATGCTGCAAGCAGCTGCGTGCCACGGACTGTACCGACGTACACTCTCTTTGGATCCGACAGCTGAGGCTCGGTTGACACGAAAAACCAGTTCAGATCTCTGTGCTCTTGACAGAAATGTGTGGCGATGTACATGCGATAGCAGAGGGACACTGCCTCAAGTTCCGCAGAACTCAACTCTACTGACAGACCGGCCAGTGTCGCAGTGCTTCCGGCACGTGGTATGTTGATGTATGTTGTTCAGAAAAAGTGTGTGTCTTGGGCCAGGGCTCTTTGGCAATGCCATCAAGCTGGTTGAGCAGTCGCTCCTTGGGGCAGATCCAAGTGTGCTACAGCAGGTTTCGGAATGATATGCGGTTGGAAATCCGGCAAGCCGCAGAGACCTAAACCGCACATAGCCCCACAAAGACAGGCTACTGTAGCTGCGTGGCTGGATCTTACGAACATCTCTGAGGTCTGCAGGCCTGCCTGCCCCTGGTTTGCCACAACCCTTCGAGCATCTTCCCTGCGGCTGCCAGAGCTCAGCGCCCCACGAGGGCGACTTGTCCTGGGAATAAGCGGGCCTGAACCGATGAAAGCTCTCGGTCGCTCTCCCCCTCCTATCCATGACTCAAGGCATCATGTCGTGCGGGGTGAGAGAAGCGGACTATCACCCAGATTACCATCCTGAGGATGCCGCCACAGGCTCACTGCTGGCTTTGAGTTGCTCCAAGGCCTTTGTCATTTCGCTTGGCGCTGTAGGGCTCAAGTGCATTTCAGGCTTTGGGTCGCATCAACCACGAGCGAAGGAAGACAAGCTGTTGCCGGGCGTAGGAAGATGGCTGGCAACTTGCGCATCGAAAGTGCCAACGAGCTTCGCAGCTGTATCCGTGGCCGCGGCCCGGTCAGGTTCAGTGAAGCGCCATGAAGGCGAGACTGAGACTGACTGTGCAGGCCCGCAGGCTCCCAGGCCTGCTTGAGATGACCGAGGCCCCAGCACGCCGAGTCGCGCTGACCCCCGCGCCTCAGGATGACAGAAGCTTGAAAGTCTCGAGCATTGACTTCAATTTGAGGTATCCTGCTGAAACCAACGGGCCCGCTTCAAGGAAGGCTGTGACAAGTTCGGGCGCCAATTGTTTTCAGAATGACCTCCTTGCTCGGATGGGCTTGCGGAAAAGCGCAAGCACCGGAAGGCCGGTGCAAAACACGCTGGGGCCATGCAAGAGGCAACACGGGGGCTCGAGCCCGCAACTCCCAAAATCTAGCATCTAAGCAATCTAAGCCTAGGCCTAGGCCACCCGACTTGCTCCAGGTCTGCCCGTGTCCTGGCACGGGAGACACCGGGCTCGGCAACCAGTGCACAAGCAACTTTCGGCGGGTGCGCTGCTTTGGGGATGGGAGATTTTGTCAGGCTTGGACCATAAATAAAGCTAAACTGACGCCGTCTGTCGGGCTTGACGACCTTAAAACGCATTCCTGCGGGCGCCTTCTGCACGAACTTGGCTTCCAGATCCTTCAGAGGCTTGTCGCTGAGATCAGCGCCCAAGCCGATGCCTGCTAAACACCATGGTGCAGGACATGCTGGTTCCGTCACGCTGCCTGCCAAGCCCCAGAATTGTATAACCCAACAGTGCTTGGGGCGGTACTCGACTGTCTCTCGCTTATTTCTGGCTTGCTGATTGTGAGCGGTTCCTCAGCATGCGTGCTAATCTGTTGGGCACATACTCCGTTGAATGAGCCTGAACCGGCCCTTCATCTGCAACACATAGCAAACCCATAGCCCCCTTGTTCCGGGTTTGGCTTGACCGTGGTATGACTTCGGCTTCAACACAAAGCAAAGAATAACGTCAAGAGCACAGGACATGACAAACGGCTCGGCTCAAGTCCCTAGCAGCGATCGCAGGTGAGAAAACAGTACGAAGCGCATAATCCGGCAGATCTGAGAACCATCGAAGCCTCAACAGCTCTTCTCGTCTTGCTCGTGAGTATGGATACGGGCAGCAAGGACAGCAGCTACGTTCTGGCAAGGACCACCCAGCAGATACTTCATTCCTTGCTTCGTTCAATCCTGCCAATGTTGCCTTCCTTCCTTCCTGCCTACCTGCCTACCTGCCTTCCTCCTCGTCAAACAAAAACCATAAGCGCACCTGAAGACAGCGAGAGCCGAGCACAGGTCCATGCCCCAGTGCCTAGCAACCGAGAGCTGCACTGGGCATCGCAGGTCAGCGGCGGTGCCTTGTGGCCGGAAGGGAATCAGAAAAAGCCCCGTCAAGGCCCGCGCTGATCCCATTCCTAGTCCCTTGCAGAGCTAACAAGACACTTGTTCAGGAGCAGGCACAGTGGCTGACTGTTTGTCTTCCAGGGCGGCGACTTGTTGCTCCCTTGGGATCAGGTCCCGAGGTGCAAAATACAGGGGTGTTTTTTTGGGCTCTCGAAGGCCTGGAAAGGATGCGGCGACCCACAATCCACCATGAACCTTCCTGCCACGGACAGTAAACAAGCCGCTCACTGTCGGTGGCTCCAAGGTCGCGCTGTACATAGTGACATAGCGTGGGTGCTCCCGCCACGTGCTGAGCGCAAGTCGGGTGTCTCGTCACCACATCAGGGCCCCCGAAGACCCTTGAGAGCTTGCTGCAACTGACTTCCTTTTGGGAAGATCAGCGCAACAGCGGAAAAGAGGAAGAGTCGTGTCTCCAGCCAGAGAGTCTCCACAAGCTCAGAAAGTGACCGATGATGGGCGTGTACAGCATGGTAAGCCTGAAACCTAGCCAAGTCTATCTTATCAAGCCTCCCGAGTAGTGGCCCCCAAAGTTCGAGACACGAAAAGAGTGCACGCCTCGCAGTTCTGACACCAAACGAAACCTCAACAGTCATGCTCAAAATGCATCAGCTTCAACGACAGCGGAGATCAGTTAGTTGATGCGTCTCGGACTGCGACGGGTTCCAAGCAACCCGAATATCAAACTTCAAAATCCTACGTGAACCATGAGGCCTGGCATCCTTCGGACAGCCGTTGGCCCATCACATACTGGATGAGGTGTGTATGTGGCCGAAATATGCCCAGCCGTGCCCCCAAAATGCAATATGCAATGATTTCGTCAAGAAGGTGAGCATCACAATTCTTCTTTTCACTTCTGTGATGATGACTCTGATACCCGCTGGCTAAGGCCTCACTCACTCCTTCTGACCACGCTGGAGCTTGTAGTAGACGCCCTTCGCATGCATTAGCTCTGTGGGGGTTCCGGTCTCCACGACCTGACCCTCGGACACGACGATGATAACGTCGCAGTCCTGGATGGTAGACAGCCGATGAGCAATGGCGATGGATGTGCGGCCCTGCCGGGCAGCCTGCAGTGCCGACTGCACCAGGCGCTCGCTTTGCGAGTCTAGGGCGCTGGTAGCCTCATCCAGCAGCAGCAATGGCGGGTTCCGCACCAAGGCCCGGCAGATGGCCACGCGTTGCTTCTGCCCGCCTGAGAGCCGGCTCCCGCGCGGCCCAACCTGCGTTTCCCAGCCTTGGGCCTTGTTGCTGTCAATGAAGTTGAGGTTGGCCATCTTCTTGCATTGCTGCAGATGCTCGTCAGAAACTTTCTCACTTTCCTCCAGGCCATACATCACGTTCTCCAGGATCGAGGTGTTGAACAGAATCGGCTCCTGGCCCACAAAACCGATCTGCTTACGCCACCACCGGATGTTGAGCTCCCGAAGCGGCTGCTGCGTGCCTCCAATCAGCACATCGCCGCTCCCTGGATCGTAGAAACGTTGCAGCATTGCCATGACGGTGCTCTTGCCTCCTCCAGAAGGGCCGACCAGACCGGCTGACTTTCCTGCCTCCAGCACGAAAGAAATGCCTTTCAGCACCTGCACGTCTGGCCGGAACGGATAGGCAAACTGCACGTTCCGGAACTCTAAACGACCCACTTGGACAGCACGCAGGCACTCGCCCGTTGGCTCCAGGCCATTGATTCGCGTCTCCCGGTCAAGGATCTCAAACATGTCGTGGGCGGCGACCTTCGCCTTGGCCAGGTCTCCTGTAAGCGCCGAGGCCATGCCTGCACCCAGGCCTGCGTAGAGGATACCCATGAATGCCTGCTGCCCCGTCTCGAAGGTGGCACGCCCTGCGTCGATGAGAACTCCCATGAAGTAGAAACCGCCGGCCATGACCCAGAAAGCAATGGCACTCACGAAGCCGAAGACCAGCCCATTCAGCAAGTGCTTCTTCAGAAGGTTCTGAGAAATGCTGTCCACCATCTTCGTGTAGAGCTTGCAGACGTCCCTCTCATTGCCAGAAGCCTGCACTGTCCGGGAATTCAGCAGCGAGTCCGCGAGGACCTGCGTGGCTGCTTTCAGGACGTGGTTTTCGGACTTCTCGCCACCCACCATCATAGCCATCTCGACACCTTGGGCTACACCGAAGATCGGGATCGCAAGCAGCATGACGCCGGCCATTTCCCAGCTGGCGATGAAGGCGAGCGTCAATCCGACCACGACGGAGCATAGGGCGTCAGCTTTGTCTCCAAAGGTGATGATCAATCTTGCAATGCGGAAGGCGTAGATCTTCAGAGCCGCGACCAACTTGGCGGAGGTGTTTTCGGGGTCGTCATGGAAGCCAACATCTTGCCGGAACATGTTGGTCAGCAGCGCCACTCGGGCTTCCTTTGTCGTGACCTCGGCAATCAGCCCGAAGCAGGCAAACTGCAAGCACGAGGACACGCACTTTGCGGCACCGAAGATCAGGAACCACATCGCCGCCAGCTCGGCCTCTCTCCTCATCACATCCATGTCAGTCTGCAACAGCGCCATCAATGCCTCGACGAGGACGAAGGCTCCCAGGACTGGGAAACAGGCGCCGCTGACCACAGCTGCAAGGAAGCCCGGAGCGAAGGCCCACCAGTACGGCCGCGAGAAGCTCAACAGACGGCGCATAGGCACCTTGTAGTTCTTCGTGATGTCCTTGATCCGATCGGCTTCCTCGTCTTCAGCCTCCTCTGCCACCATGTTCGTCGCTTTCGAGGGCTCTGCCATGATCTTTGGGGTCATCACCTCTGCTTCTTCATCCACCGGATCGCCCCCTGCTTCTTCCACCACGAGATCGCCCGTGTCCTGATGAACCAGGACTGCTCCCTGGGCCGCTGCCAGAGCTTGGTAGATGCCACCCTCCTGCGCCGTCAACTCGCTGTGCGAGCCCTGCTCGGAGACCCGTCCACCAGACAGCACGAAGATGATATCGGAGTTCTGCACTGTGCTCAAGCGATGGGCGATGCTGACGATGGTCATCTTGCCGGCCGTCGTCTTCCCCAGGCTGTCAATGGTTCGTTGGATCATCTTCTCGGAGCGGCTGTCCAAGGCACTCGTGGCTTCGTCCAAGAACAGCAGCGAAGGCTTCTTGAGCAGCGCTCGGGCGATGGCGATGCGCTGCTTCTGCCCACCGGAGAACTGCGACCCACCGGAGCCCACGTAGGTGTCGAAGCCCTTGGGCAGCCCTCGCACGAAGTCCAGCTGTGCCTGCGCGGCAGCTGCCTCGAAGTCCTCTTCGGACGCACCACTGCTGCCTTGCAGAATGTTTTCGCGCACACTGGTGGCGAAGAGGACTGGCTCCTGGCCAACGTAGCCGATCTGCTTGCGGTAAGACTGAACGTTGACGTTCCTCAGATCCTTCCCGTTCACGAGCACTTTGCCCTCCGAGGGGTCGTAGAAGCGCTCCAGCAGCGCCATGATGGTGCTCTTCCCGCTGCCCGACTCTCCCACGACAGCCACCTTCTTGCCCTTCTGAATCGTGAGAGAGAGGCCATGCAGTACTGTGATCTCCGGGCGCGCGGGGTAGGCAAAGTGCACGTCCTCCAGTTGAAGCGTCTCGATGGGGCCGATGACTTCACGGTCATCTCGCACTCTCTTCTGAATCGTCGACTCACGGTTCACCAAGTAGAAGAAACGGGCCATGGACACCTTTGCCGCCGCGATGTTGGCAAAGCCGGGCGCGATGTTGCCGATCATGAAGCCGCTCGTGAGGACGCAAGTGAAAGCTGCCATAACTCGCCCGGAGGTGAGATCCTCCTTGCCACCAGTCATCAGCGTCATCGCGTACCAGAATGCCAAAGCCATCGCCGCAAAGTAAACGAGCCAGATATAGCCCATGCCGATGCCCATCTTGATTCTGTTCCGGAGGCCTCCTTTGGACGCGGAGGACACTGCATCAGAATATCGACGGATTTCGCGAGCCTCGCCCCCAAAGGCGACGACGGTGCGGATCGCAAACAGCATCTCATCCGCCAGGGCCGCCGCCTTCTCGTAGTGCCCTTGAACCTCTTGCACGGCATCCATGAGGGCCTGTCCCATGATGAAAGCGCCGGCAGACATCAGGGGCATGGTAGCGAGCATGAGGAGAGCGATCTCCCAGGACAAGAAGAAGCCCACAGCCAAGCCAGTGATGAGGCCCGAGGAGGACATGATCGACACCCCAAGCTTCGTCCCAAAGGCTTCGTGAAAAGCTTCCAGGTCGGCAGTCATCTCACCTGCAAGAGCACCCGGGCTGTGGGTGTCGAACCAACCAACATCCTGGTGGAGCATTGCATCGAAGTACATTGGCCTCATCTTCTTAACCTGGTTGTCGACGAAGTAAGCGAATGAGAAGCCCTGCAGGGAGGCTGCAGCGCATACGCCGCAGCCGATCAAGATGAACTTGATGGCGGTGTCGCCCACACTCTCCAGCATCAACTCATTGGCTTGTTGAGACATCTGCTCCATCATGGACGCTTGGTCAGCTGCAGACATGTTCATAAATGAAGTCGTGTCGAATTCAACGAACATGGTCGAGCCCAGACCATCGATGAGGTCACCGAACATGAGGCACATCAAAGGCTGACCAGCACCATGCGCCACTGCCCCGAGGAATCCGATTGCGAGAATCAGAAAGTCCGTCCACGTGGCTAGCGAGAGCAGCTTGGCCACGGATGCGCTTCCACCCCACTCTTTTAGGCCCTCCTTCCTCTCCTTGGCCTTGCGCTCGGTCTTCTGTGCCTCGGTCTCCACCTTCTCTTCCTCCGGCAGGTCTGCGATGACATCTGCCTCGTCTGGGCCAGCTCCCTCCAACTTCGAGGCCATGTTCCGACCCCGATACGCGAGAAGACCTCCGTGGAAGCTCTCACCTCCTCCCCGAGTTTCTGATTTCGTGAAGCACACTTGTCAAAGGAAAGGAGTTTAGGGTTTGGGGCCACTACCCACCTGAAAATGTCCTAGATCTTGAGCCCCAAAGGGAAACACCATGAGGAAGCCATGAGCAAATCACCGGCTAGCCCACATCCACAACTCAAAACCACTGTCGAGGCCCCGTGCCCACCACTGCTTGTGATCCAGATGTTGGGACTCCAAGATCAAGACCTGCCAGCACAAGGGCTCAAGTCTCATGCGAAAGCTCCGAGGACCTCGTGTTGTGCAATGCAGCTCCGGCCATCACCCTGGAGCTCCTTCTCAACTTTTGACTCCCCGGGTACTTTCGGTAGATCTTGTGGCACGGCTCGCCCAGCAGTCACTCCCCAACATAGACCAAACTGTTTGTTCGGGCTGGGCTTCGTTGGGAAAGGGCTTGCGAGCAAGCCCGGATCTATGGTTGAGGGTGCATCCCATGCAACGGCAAACTTTTTCCAACCCGTGGCACGGCAAACTAAATGCCAAATCTTGGGGAAACCGTTTTGTCAGCATGCTACATGCGCACCGTAGGTGTGCATGCTGTTGCATTCCGAGAAGGCCTCATCTTGCATACTGCTGAGTTCTCTGTCTTTTTCGTTTCATCTCTCTCTTTCTCTGCCATTGCGTCCAAGAAGTACTGCTAAGTTGAGGGGGCCGATTGCTAACCCACTCTTCGATGCCACTCGCATGCATATTTGAGTTTAGCGTGACAACCACTTCAGGCCTCAGTCTGACAAAGCCAGCCACAACTGGCCAAACGATCCTGAAGAATATCAGCTACTTCAAGCCTCAGTGCAAGAAAGCAACTCGAATGGAACGAACATACAGTGTTCTGGCAGCTCTCCATGGGGCTGACCGGCTCGAGAGCCCCAACTCTCAATATCAAGCGTTTTATCAGGGCGCGTCCAACCTTACCCGTCGAAACAATGGGTCTGCTATGGCAACTATGCTTGCAAAAGAAGGCGACAGCTCGTCCTTCAACCGTTAATGTGTTTAGCCAGCACGAGTCGAGGCATTGTCTGTCGCCAGAAGCACCGCAAAAGGCATACCAACGCCGACCATTTGAGCTAGCCAGTACACACACTTGCATGAAAGAGTCCACTGCAAACAATCCATGCCACGCTTAGACCCGCAGGCCTTCTGGGGTTGTACATTTGCTGGGTATGTCGGAGGCCAGACCAACGACCTCCAAATCCAAGGCTGACAAGCACGAGACGGAAGCATGCTTAATTCAACTTGCCGGCATGCATTGCGCAAGACGCCATTTTCAACTCCAGGCAACAGTTCTTCTGGCTTGAAGCTGGTGGTTGCAGTCAATTCCTGACTAAAGAAGGCTTTAAGCCTCTAGCCTGCGCAGTCGATCTGTCGGAAAATCATTAGTCCCCAGCTGGAACTGCAATGCCGGCCATGTGGTTGCGGCCAGTCGCCAGCATCAACACCCGCATGCCCTGGAGGCTTGGATGCTTCCAGTACAGCGGCCGGGCAACACCTGAGGCTCAGGCTCTGAGAGTCTCTGCGGCTTCAAGCCTCTCTTTAAGCTTCAGGGGCCGGTTCGGCGTGAAACCCGGCGGGACATTTAGAGCTGTCAACCTGATGCTTCCCCAGTACGGATGCTTTCCATCCTTGCCCTCCGAAACGAACTGACGAGGATGTCGGCTCTGCTTGCTTTGGTTCGACGGCCGGCCGGAGGCAACACGCCCTGCTAGAGAGACCGGGCAGGGACTAAGCCAAACAAGAAAACTGTAAACAGCTCTGCCATGCTCTGCCCCTGCCCCAAGCGGCCAATGCGATGCGGCCCCATCATGTAGCATTTCATCATGTCCACCTCAGCGATTAATCGGCCTTCGGTCTGGCTGCTGGGCTGGCTTGTGCTCTGATAGGAGTAAGGTCCTTACGAAGTTGATGCAAGTTTGAACATCTACGAAGATCTGAGGCTTGGCATCTACGGGCTAATCACGAGCGTGATTATCAACGGCGGGCATCCGAGCTTCTGGGGGTGGAGTGCGCGCGGTAGGGCTGAGTGCTCCACATGGCGAGTTGTTTTGCGGGTCGATCCAGCATGTTAGGTAGTTCTTCGCAATCCATGTCGAAGGTCAGCATCCCCCCCCACAGCACAGGCATTGCTCCCGGCCTCCGGAGGCTTGCCCTCACCCTTCTTGTTGAGGAAGCGCTCCACGCCGCAGCGGCCATCATTGCTACCGCAGCCCCAGGCCTTGCTGCTAGGAAAGAAAGTGGTTCCCAGTTGTACGATAGAGGCTCATGGTCTCGTAGAGTTGGCTCCATCCAGCTGCATGTAGCAGTACTTATTAGTTACACTCATGAACAATCCATGTTCATGCTACAATGGAAGCGCATGCAGCCAAGGTGGCCCAAGCTTTGCCATCTGCACACACAACCGCCTGGCCAGGCGTGTCCAAAGGTAACTGTAGGCTTGACGATGCTTGACGTATAGAACATTGCAGGCATCAGGACACATCGCGCAGGGCAGACAACTCTCACGCCTCCTGCCGCACAGACGCCGGTCACGTCTCTATGTAGAGTGTGCACACTCATAGAAGCTACATGCAGCTCTATAATCACGTCAACTTCGCACCTCACGCCCATGGATTATGAGGGACCTCCCCCCGTAGGCTACCTGAACGCATTATAGGCCGGGCCACTGCGTGGATGTGGGCGGACACCGCGCTGGTGACAGGCCCGATTGCGTCATAGGGCGGCGGCCATCTGGGACGGTGTTTCTATCAAGCTTTCAACCGGAGCCCCTCCAATTGTGCACCTCAAGCTGACAGAACCTTGCAAAATTTCCCGCTGTCACTCAAACACAGGTGACTCCCAGCTTGATAAGACTTGATGAGGCAGCAAAATCTCACAAGTACAAACAAACCACAACAATGCCATCGTGTATGCAGCGGCATTGACTCCTATTTTGCGCTTTTGAGTTGACATCTGGCCAAGTGACACCGCCAGTGGGGACATTGGTGGGTCCTGGACGTGCGGATATCAATCACGGAATGGAACGAGAGCAATGCAATGGCAACCCCTTTGTACGGGAAGGCGTGTGAACAGGCCCGCCAACCCCCATGAATGCCAAACTCCATCTGCACACGAGTTCGACAAGGACACGTCCAGAAAGTATGTTTCTGTGCGCACCTCGATGTGCCTGTGGGTTTTGTGCGCTTGGTGTATGTACACCATGCAAACGTTGCCGCCTGTCGACTGATGCATACACAATGTGATCCAGAAATCTGCTCAGAGGCAAATCACGACCATCATGTCTCGTGTGAGCTTGGAGGCGTGTATCGAGGCCTAGAGTCCTAGAGTTGCCAAATTGACTTGTACGTGCGTCTGTTCCAACACCGAAAGATTGAAGGCAACGAATCTTGGAGATGGCTAAGAAGCCGTCATCTGCGTGGTCCTCGGAGCCATTCCGTAATGGGCCACCGACACGGTATGGTTTCAACTCGTCCCATGGCCTGTCACACAGCTGCGCATCCCTCAAACCTCAATTTTCAAGTCCCCTGGCCTCTTGAAGTTAATTGAAAGTGGGGCGACTGGGTTACGCCGAAGTTACCTCACCCTGGTCCGGACGTCGCAGCTGCAGAATCTGCCAGTATTCGCAACCGCAAACCGCCCCGTCCCACGAGCCCCACGCACCTGCCAAAAGCGCCGTCCTTACTGCCCAGGTTTGCAAGGAGGCCCTTGTGACAGGTGCCCATGGTGTAGATAGCACCTGCATGCACACTCGGCCCTGTCAGATGAGGGTCTTGGCCATGGACGTACATGGTTGAAACACGCACATGTTCGTACATGCAAGCCATTGGGTAAAGCATCACGTAGCGACCTCAAGCCTTCGGGGAAGTAGCTGCAGAAAGTGATGCAGGTAACCTCAAAGTAATGGCAGGGGCCTGAAGTGCCGACCACCACCTGAGTTGCATGGGAGATGCTTGAGCATGCGCTGCCGTGTGGTTTATCCTGGCGGGGAAGATGTCGGCCTCCTGACTGCAACTGAGCCACCGTGTGGGGTCCCTCGTGGCCGCCCTCTTTAGGGTTCAAGCCATCCTTGCAGCCTGCTTGGCCGCCTCACAGTCCGCCAGTCATAATAAGTGAAAGCCGCATCGCACAACCTTTTGTTGAAGTGCGGAAAATGGGCCGAAGGATATGCTGAATCGCTGAACCGAGCCATCAAGTTCACAAAGCTGTATCGAGCAAGTCGGGGTGAAAAATGGGATGAAAGCCGACTGTCATGCTGATCCGAAACTGGAAAACATTCTGGCGCCAATCTCTGTGCGCGGCCACATACAAGTATGTGCATGCATGCATGTACGTACGTATGCATTCAAGCCTGTGTATATGTGTGCGTGTGTCTGTATGTGAGTATGCCTGCATGTATGTATCTGTGCACGTAGGTAGGTGCTGTATGTGGGTATGTAGGTAGGTAGGTAGGTAGGTAGGTAGGTAGGTCGGTCGGTCGGTCGGTCGGTCGGTCGGTCGGTAGGTAGGTAGGTAACAGGTAGGTAGGTAAGTCGGTAGGACAGACAGATAGCCAGACAGTCAACCAGAAGCCAGACAGACACCGAGCCAGCCAGCGAGATTGATAGGCAAGCGGACAAACAGAGACAGAGAGAGAGAGGGAGAGAGAGGGAGCAAAGAGATGGAGAGATAGATTGAGCAAGGAAGCGAGGGGGAGTGAGCGGGGAGCGCGGGGAGCGTATACAGTGGGCATGTTGGCCGTGACGGACTGAGCCACACAGAATTCAAAACATAAAACAAAGTCCGCCAGGTCTCGAGTGCAGGCCAGCTGCCTCGGCGAAAGCAACATTCCCGACGCTAGTGTGCTCAAGGGGTGTCTTCTCCGAGAGTTTGCTCGCATCTTGTTACCCTGCAACAGACACAGGGCTGGTCAAGCACTGGCTCATTCCACATGTACTGTAGTGTGAGACCGGTGACAATTAAGATATTCAATCCCTGGCACGGAAAACTACTTTAGACTGCGATCAGCCCAGATCCGGCCAAACAATTGAATTTGGGATTCCGGTGATGTGTATAAACGGGGGACAAGTAAAATATTCCGGGTCCCAAATCCCAAAAAGTTTCAGGCCTGTTCTGAGGAAAGCTGAATCATTATTTTAGAAAAAAAAGGAGAAGCCTGTACCTTAAGCCCAGCCGGCAGAGTGCAGTTCCTCAGACATCTCACTGAACTACCAGCTCGCAAAGTGCAGTTCCAGAGACTCCCTTCGGCAAGCAGAGCAGATCCGACGGGAACTCCAAGATTTCCGAGAGCTGCACGCTTTCGCATGAAATCAAGGACTCCGCATTCCAGTAATACAGTAACTGCAGCAGCTATTCTTGCGGCCTTTTCTATCCCTTACGAGCCCTCTTGATCGCAACGATAAATGGGTGACAACAATACACTCCCGCGGGGAAGGGGGTCCTGGAAGCAAGGCTTCCTTCAGAAGGCTATTTAGAGAGCAAGAAGCAATGGGCCTCAAGCCAGAGGCTTGAAGGCTTTGGTACTCGAGAGCTGCAGGCTTTGGCATGAAGCCACGGAATCTGGATTCCAGGAACTGCAGCAGCCATTCTTGAGGCTTGTGCGTGATTACTACCACCACTACTACTACTACTACTGCTGCTGCTACTACTACTACTACTACTTCTACTACAACTACAAC